CTCTGAGGACAGGTGTCAATCCATATCTGCCAAGTGCCCCTATGTTGGGGTACCATTCCCTATTCTGCTCTGTGTCAGTGTGTATCAGGGGCTCTGAGGACAGGTGTCAATCCATATCTGCCAAGTGACCCTATGTTGGGGTAACATTCCCTATTCTGATCTGTGTCAGTGTGTATCAGGGATCCTTAGGACGGGTGTCAATCCATATCTGCCAAGTGACCCGATGTTGGGGTAGCATTCCCTATTCTGATCTGTGTCAGTGTGTATCAGGGGCTCTGAGGACAGGTGTCAATCCATATCTGCCATGTGACCCTATGTAGGAGGAACAGTCCTATTCTGCTCTGTGTCAGTGTGTATCAGGGATCCCTAGGACAGGTGTCAATCCATATCTGCCAAGTGACCCTATGTAGGGGGAACAGTCTCTATTCTGCTCTGTGTCAGTGTGTATCATGGTCCCTGAGGACAGGTGTCAATCCATATCTGCCGAGTGACCCTATGTAGGGGAGACAGTCTCTATTCTGCTCTGTGTCAGTGTGTATCATGATCTCTGAGGACAGGTGTCAATCCATATCTGCCAAGTGACCCTATGTAGGAGAACAGTCTCTATTCTGCTCTGTGTCAGTGTGAATCAGGGGCTCTGAGGACAGGTGTCAATCCATATCTGCCAAGTGACCCTATGTAGGGGGAACAGTCTATTCTGCTCTGTGTCAGTGTGTATCATGTTCTCTGAAGACAGGTGTCAATCCATATCTGCCAAGTGACCCTATGTAGGAGGAACAGTCTCTATTCTGCTCTGTGTCAGTGTGTATCATGGTCTCTGAGGACAGGTGTCAATCCATATCTGCCAAGTGACCCTATGTAGGGGGAACAGTCTCTATTCTGCTCTCTGTCGGTGTGTATCATGGTCTCTGAGGACAGGTGTCAATCCATATCTGCCAAGTGACCCTATGTAGGGGGAACAGTCTCTATTCTGCTCTCTGTCAGTGTGTATCATGGTTTCTGAGGACAGGTGTCAATCCATATCTGCCAAGTGACCCTATGTAGGAGGAGCAGTCTCTATCCTGCTCTGTGTCAGTGTGTATCAGGGGCTCTGAGGACAGGTGTCAATCCATATCTGCCAAGTGACCCTATGTAGGGAACAGTCTCTATTCTGCTCTGTGTCGGGTGGCATCATGAGTCTCTGAGGATGGGTGTGTCAATCCATATCTGTAAGTGACTATCTTGGGGGAACAGTCTCTATTCTGCTCTGTGTCAGTGTGTATCATGGTCTCTGGGGACAGGTGTCAATCCATATCTGCCAAGTGACCCTGTGTAGGAGGAACAGTCTCTATTCTGCTCTGTGTCAGTGTGTATCATGGTCTCTGAGGACAGGTGTCAATCCATATCTGCCAAGTGACCTTATGTAGGAGGAACAGTCTCTATTCTGCTCTGTGTCAGTGTGTATCATGGTTTCTGAGGACAGGTGTCAATCCATATCTGCCAAGTGACCCTATGTTGGGGTAACATTCCCTATTCTGATCTGTGTCAGTGTGTATCAGGGGCTCTGAGGACAGGTGTCAATCCATATCTGCCAAGTGACCCTATGTGGGGGGAACAGTCCCTATTCTGATCTGTGTCAGTGTGTATCAGGGGCTCTGAGGACAGGTGTCAATCCATATCTGCCAAGTGACCCTATGTAGGAGGAACAGTCTCTATTCTGCTCTGTGTCAGTGTGCATCAGGGGCTCTGAGGACAGGTGTCAATCCATATCTGCCAAGTGACCCTATGTAGGAGGGACAGTCTCTATTCTGCTCTGTGTCAGTGTGTATCATGATCTCTGAGGACAGGTGTCAATCCATATCTGCCAAGTGACCCTATGTAGGATGAACAGTCCCTATTCTGCTCTGTGTCATTGTGTATCAGGGATCCTTAGGACAGGTGTCAATCCATATCTGCCAAGTGACCCTATGTAGGAGGAACAGTCCCTATTCTGCTCTGTGTCAGTGTGTATCAGGGATCCTTAGGACAGGTGTCAATCCATATCTGCCAAGTGACCCTATGTAGGGGGAACAGTCTCTATTCTGCTCTGTGTCCGTGTGTATCATGGTCTCTGAGGACAGGTGTCAATCCATATCTGCCAAGTGACCCTATGCAGGGGGAACAGTCCCTA